GAGAGGAGTCATGGGGGAAGAGAGAGAGTCATGGGGGAGGGGAGAGAGAGTCATGGGGGAGGAGAGTGTCATGGGGGGGAGGGGAGAGAGAGTCATGGGAGGAGGGGAGATGAGAGTCATGGGGAAGAGGAGAGAGTGTCATGGGGGGAGGAGGAGAGCGTCATGGGGGAGGAGAGAGTCATGGGGGAAGAGAGGAGAGTGTCATGGGGGAGGAGAGGAGAGAGAGTCATGGGGGAGGCCCTTTTTAGTTGTCAACAACAGCACTAGTACAACCTCTCTCAGTATTTACTGATGGGCTTCACAGTCTAGCAGGGCAATGTATGCTCACTGCAGAGATGGATGTTAGTTGTAGGCAACAAAGGCAAACAAATACAGACCCAAGGCTGCTCTCTGTATGGCTGGAGGTTAGTGTTATGATACTGGTCCTCTGGTATGGCTGGAGGTTTGAGTGTTATGATACCTGGTCTCTGTATGGCTGGAGGTTAGTGTTTATGGATACTGGTCGCTGTATGGCTGGGTGTTAGTGTTATGATACTGGTCTCCTGTATGGCTGGAGGTTAGTGTTTGATATACTGGTTCTCTGGTGTGGCGGGAGGTTTAGTGTTATGATACTGGTCTCTGGTGTGGATGGAGGTTAGTGTTATGATCTTGGTCTCTGTTGGGCTGGAGGGTTAGTATATGATACTGGTCTCTGTATGGCTGGAGGTTTAGTGTTATGGATACTGGGTCTCTGATGGCTGGCGAGGTTTAGTGTTATGATACTGGTTCTCTTGTATGGCTGGGGGTTAGTGTTATGATACTGGTCTCTGTATGGCTGGAGGTTAGTGTTATGATACTGGTCTCTGTATGGCTGGAGGTTGTGTTATGATACTGGTCTCTGTTGGCTGGAAGGTTTAGTGTTTATAGATACTGGTCTCTGTTGGCTGGAGGTTAGTGTTATGATACTGGTCTCTGTGTGGCTGGAGGTTAGTGTTATGATACTGGTCTCTGTGTGGCTGGAGGTTAGTGTTATGATACTGGTCTCTGTATGGCTGGAGGTTAGTGTTATGATACTGGTCTCTGTGTGGCTGGAGGTTAGTGTTATGATACTGGTCTCTGATGGCTGGAGGTTAGTGTTATGATACTGGTCTCTGTATGGCTGGAGGTTAGTGTTATGATACTGGTCTCTGTATGGCTGGAGGTTAGTGTTATGATACTGGTCTCTGTATGGCATGGAGGTTAGTGTTATGATACTGGTCTCTGTGTGGCTGGAGGTTAGTGTTATGATACTGGTCTCTGTGTGGCTGGAGGTTAGTGTTTATGATACTGGTCTCTGTGTGGCTGGAGGTTAGTGTTATGATACTGGTCTCTGTGTGGCTGGAGGTTAGTGTTATGATACTGGTCTCTGTGTGGCTGGAGGTTAGTGTTATGATACTGGTCTCTGTGTGGCTGGAGGTTAGTGTTATGATACTGGTCTCTGTGTGGCTGGAGGTTAGTGTTATGATACTGGTCTCTGTGTGGCTGGAGGTTAGTGTTATGATACTGGTCTCTGTATGGCTGGAGGTTAGTGTTATGATACTGGCTCTGTGTGGCTGGAGGTTAGTGTTATGATACGGTCTCTGTGTGGCTGGAGGTTAGTGTTATGATACTGGTCTCTGTGTGGCTGGAGGTTAGTGTTTTGATACTGGTCTCTGTGTGGCTGGAGGTTAGTGTTATGATACTGGTCTCTGTATGGCTGGAGGTTAGTGTTATGATACTGGTCTCTGTATGGCTGGAGGTTAGTGTTATGATACTGGTCTCTGTATGGCTGGAGGTTAGTGTTATGATACTGGTCTCTGTATGGCTGGAGGTTAGTGTTATGATACTGGTCTCTGTATGGCTGGAGGTTAGTGTTATGATACTGGTCTCTGTATGGCTGGAGGTTAGTGTTATGATACTGGTCTCTGTATGGCTGGAGGTTAGTGTTATGATACTGGTCTCTGTGTGGCTGGAGGTTAGTGTTATGATACTGGTCTCTGTATGGCTGGAGGTTAGTGTTATGATACTGGTCTCTGTATGGCTGGAGGTTAGTGTTATGATACTGGTCTCTGTATGGCTGGAGGTTAGTGTTATGATACTGGTCTCTGTATGGCTGGAGGTTAGTGTTATGATACTGTCTCTGTATGGCTGGAGGTTAGTGTTATGATACTGGTCTCTGTATGGCTGGAGGTTAGTGTTATGATACTGGTCTCTGTATGGCTGGAGGTTAGTGTTATGATACTGGTCTCTGTATGGCTGGAGGTTAGTGTTATGATACTGGTCTCTGTATGGCTGGAGGTTAGTGTTATGATACTGGTCTCTGTGTGGCTGGAGGTTAGTGTTATGATACTGGTCTCTGTATGGCTGGAGGTTAGTGTTATGATACTGGTCTCTGTATGGCTGGAGGTTAGGTGGTTTAGGATACTGGTCTCTGTGTGGCTGGAGGTTAGTGTTATGATACTGGTCCTCTGTATGGCCTGGAGGTTAAGTGTTAATGAATCCTGGTCGCTGTGTGGCTCGGAGGTTAGTGTTATGAAACGGGTCTCGCGATGGCTGGAGGTTAGTATGTTATGATACTGGTCTCTGTATGGCTGGAGGTTAGTGTTATGAACTGGTCTCTGTGGTGGCTGGAGGTTAGTGTTATGATACTGGTCTCTGTGTGGCTGGAAGGTTAGTGTTATGATACTGGGTCTCTGTATGGCTGGAGGTTGTGTTATAGATACTGGTCTCTGTATGGCTGGAGGTTAGTGTTATGATACTGGTCTCTGTATGGCTGGAGGTTAGTGTTATGATGATTGTCTGTGTCCTTACACCACCGTTCTCCACTTGACAGGGACGAAGTGTGTCGTGATGCTGACTAATCATGGGTTGAGTCTCAAATTCACACTATATTCCCTATAAATCGCACTAGTTTTGACCTGATTCCTATGCGCCCTGGTCAAACGTAGTGCACTATGTAGGAAATAGGGTGCCATTTGAAACGCAGCCTGGGTTGTGTTGAACAATGTCCATCTTCCAGCCTGGTGCACCAGGAGATGGGGACGGGGTCAGGGGGCTCTACCCGATTTGGGTGGGGCTTTTTGGGGTCTGACAGAGGAACAATGCCCTCCCCCCCCCCCCAGAGATGGAATAAAGAGTAGTGGAGACCCATCTGTTCTTCATTCCTTCACTGTGGTTCCCTCCCAGACAATAGCTCTCTATGCTCCAGTAACCCCCTTCCTGTCTCACACTTAGGACCAGACTAACACTACATGTCAAACTTGCTATTTATCATGTATATTATAACAACCACTTTCACTATTTTGCTTTATAAAAAGTATCCTGCAATTTTGACGTTTTTGTTTTAAAGTCAATCTTTTATTTTTTTGCTAATGTTGGCTCACTTGGAGCAATGTCCTTAAAAATACTGGGAGAGGGGGAGAAACAGTTAGAGAAGTGAGGGTTTGAATCAGCTCTGCCAACATGGATCGGTTTCTCTTTAATTTTCTGATATGGATCACCAACTTTGGGCTCACCTTTGACCTTCAGAGGGGTCCGTGCCGTCACAATAGCTCTGTTGTCCTTTTGGTTGGACACTTTCTCACACACATACATACATACATACATACATACATACATACATACATACATACATACATACATGCATGCATGCATGCATGCATACATACATACACCAACCCCTAACCCCAACCTGCTGCTACCCCCACCCATCTTGTCTCAACCTGACTAGCACATGAGAAAGTGGGTCGTTTTGTCTGCATGTTTTTAAAGTCTTGATTTTCTCACTGTGAGTAAATGAGTAATGTTGTTGTCCACAGCGCTGGAACGCTCATGACAGCAGTACTGAAGAGTACGAGGCAGATGGTGAGTGGAAAGTCGCGATACTCATTACCTTTAATAGATACCCAGTTATCAGATACTCATTACCTTCAATAGATACCCAGTTATCATAGATACCCAGTTATCATAGATACTCATTACCTTCAATAGATACCCAGTTATCATAGATACTCATTACCTTCAATAGATACCCAGTTATCATAGATACTCATTACCTTCAATAGATACCCAGTTATCATAGATACTCATTACCTTCAATAGATACCCAGTTATCATAGATACTCATTACCTTCAATAGATACCCAGTTATCATAGATACTCATTACCTTCAATAGATACCCAGTTATCATAGATACTCATTACCTTCAATAGATACCCAGTTATCATAGATACTCATTACCTTCAATAGATACCCAGTTATCATAGATACTCATTACCTTCAATAGATACCCAGTTATCATAGATACTCATTACCTTCAATAGATACCCAGTTATCATAGATACTCATTACCTTCAATAGATACCCAGTTATCAGATACTCATTACCTTCAATAGATACCCAGTTATCATAGATACTCATTACCTTCAATAAATACCCAGTTATCATAGATACCCAGTTATCATAGATAATCATTACCTTCAATAGATACCCAGTTATCAGATACTCATTACCTTCAATAGATACCCAGTTATCATAGATACTCACCAAGGGCCAAGGTCTTAAGTCAAGTCTGACCATAGTAAAACAATCTTAAAATATCTGTGTGCCTCTCTGTCTGTAGGCCAGCTGCACCTGTGGAACCCTGACGACCCCTCCACCCCACGGCGCTCCATCGCGCCCCTGTCAGACCGCCTGGAGGAGAGGTTACGACAGGCCTGTGAAGAGCTGGCTATGCCCTGGGATGGATGTGCCAGCCACCACGAACTACTGTCTCTCTGTGACCACCTGGGGCCTGGAGCTGAGGAAAGAGACTGTGTCCAAAATGGCCCCCCCTGTGTCTTATAGTGCATTAGATAGGGAATAGGGTGCCATTTTTGGATTCAACCCAAGTGGAGGTTTGAGAGTCTGAGTAGATGCTGGGAAATGTTTCTGATTGTTGTTGTTTATTTTTTGTCTCCAGGTGACGGAGGATGTCCTCCAGGTTCTAAATGGTGATGACGTCATGAGCGTTCAGGCATTTGCCTCCTGGGTTCTGAGCCACACCAAGCCCCCCACCCCCTCTGCCTCCACACCTTACAGACAGCTCAAAAGACTACACTCCTCACAGGTACAGCTAAGCCCATCTTGGGTCTAATTCCCATGTTGTAGCCTCTGTCTGATGAAGGTCTCTGACCCGAAACATCACAATATGTTCTACAATAAACTATTATTATTTGTATAAGAGAGTGTCTCACCTCACCTTCTAATCCGTGTTGTGTCCTGACATGGGTACTGTACCGTCAAATCCTTATGCATACAGATATAGGGCGGCAGGTAGCTTAGTGGTTAAGAGCGTTGTGCCAGTAACCGAAAGGTCGTTGGTTCTAATCCCTGAGCCGACTAGGTGAAAAATCTGTCGATGTGCCCTTGAGCAAGGCACTTAACCCTAATTGCTCCTGTAAGTCGCTCTGGATAAGAGCGTCTGCTAAATGACTAAAATGTAAATGTAAAATGATATACATGCCTCTGGTTAACATAGTTTGGGGATTTCTTTCAAACTCTTACTTGTCTACTTTAAAAAAAAATGTTTTGTGGAGGAAATGTTACAATATTTCCTGTTTTTGAGTCACTCTTGAACGAACACACAAATGAACAAATCAATGTATTTATTAGACAATTTGTCCGTCCCTGTCCGTCCTTGCAGCCGTTTGACGAGACGGGCCGGAGGACCAGCTGTATGAGCAGCACTATAAGGATGTGTCTGTTCTCTACTCTGGACGATGGGACAGGGTCCACTCCTGCCGAGGACGTCCTGGATGTCTGGACGGAGGAGGGCATCGAGAACAGCCCCGAGATACTACAGGTGACACCATTGTATTGCCTATCAGACCTCGGTTCAACTAGTTAGTCTTTTCAAATACTTTGAGCGTTTTCTTAAGTCTGCCTGGAGTGCCAGATAGGAGGGGTTTGCAGTTGCCTGGTCTGCATGATATGCTACAGTACCCATAATGCTCTGTGTAGGAACATAATGGTGACCCATAATGCTCTGTTTGGAACATAATGGTGTCCCGTCTCCTTCCAATACACTATTTAACTCTCACACTTGAGTCAAGGTTTTTTACACTTGAGTGTATTTTTTTTCTCCCCTATTTTGAGAGCTTGATATGTTGACACTGAATGAGTATGTATATTTGTGCTGTAGGCCTTGGATTTTGACCTGGAGGGTAAAGTGAACCTCTGTGAGCTGACTGTGGCTCTGGAGAACGAGCTCCTCGTGACCAAGAACGGGATCCACCGGGCTGCACTGGCCAGCTTTAAGGCTGAGATCCGATACCTACTGTGAGTATGAGGAGATCTCTACACTGGTGTTTTAGGGTTGCAAAATTCCGGTAACTTTTCCAAAAATGTCCCGGTTTTCCAGAATTCCCAGTTGGAAAATTCCCAGAATCAGGAGGGAGAAGGCAGGAAATCCAGAACCTTCCAACCAGGATTTCTGGAAATCCTGTGAATTTTGTGAAAACGACCGGAATTTTCAAATCAATCAAGTTTATTGGTCGCGTACACATATTTTGCAGATGTTCTCGCAGGTGTAGCGAAATGCTAATGTTCCTAGCTCCAACAGTGGAGTAATAATATTTTGAATTGTGAATTTTGCAACCCTAGTGCTAATAAACAATATATAAATAAACATACTGGAATACACATCCACACCATACTCACACTTACTGTGATGAGGAGAAATCTACACTGCTGCTCCTAATCTGAGTGGAATATAAAAACATGCTTTTTCTCAGTCTCATATCTTTCAAAATAGTAGATCAGTTATAGAACTAGATCTCTGATTAACTTGCTGATTTATTATTTTTTTTTTTCAGTGAGCGTGTCGATCGTGAGTGCAGAGAGAAAGATAAGGTTCGTTCTGACCTGGAGAAAACGGAGAAGTTAAAAACCCAGCTGGCTACTGAGGTGGACGAGCATCACTCTGCCATCCAACGAATGAATGACCTCAACCTCAGGTAATATTCCCCTCCTTTTCCCCCTCCCTCTGTTCTGACTAGGACCTCCTCGACCCTTTCATTGATGGCTGTTGGTGTTGTTTCGTTTGTATTATATGTGGAGTATATTACTTGTAACCTGGAAATGTCTTTCTTAAATGGCCCTGTGGGGATAAATAAAGATTTTATAAATAATGTTGAATTAAATTGAATCGAATGGGGCCTCCCGAGTGGTGCAGCGGTCTAAGGTACTGCATCGCAGTGTTGCGGCATCAATACAGACCCGGGTTCGATCCCAGGCTGTGTCATTACAGGCCGTGACCGGGAGTCCCATAGGGCGGCGCACAATTGGCCCAGCGTCGTCCGGGTTAGGGGAGGGTTTGGCCCGGGGGGGGGCTTTACTTGACTCATTGCGCTCTAGTGACTCATTGTGGCAGGCCGGGCGCCTGCAGGCGTTGGCCGTGGGGGGCTTTACTTGACTCGACCTTCGCCTCTCCCGAGCCCGTTGGAGTTGCAGTGATGAGACAAGATCATAATCACGAAATTGGGGAAAAAAAAGGGGGTAATACTTACAAAACATAATAATAATAATACACTGAATCGAATGGAAGGGAGTCAAATGAAATGGAATCAAATCAAATGGAATTGAATATGTTTTTCCCTGTGTGTTTGTTCTGCAGGAAGCTGGAGCAGGAACACCGGGAGAAGCTGGCGTCTGTCAGGTCGGAGCTCGTTAAAGAGATGGACCAGATACAGCAGCAGGCTGGTCTGCAGAGAGAGGAACTGGAGGCAGAGATGGAGAAGATCAGAGACGACGAGACCTTCCTCAGAGACCACCTCTCACTCACCGTCAAGGTAACTAACACAGACCACCTCTCACTCGCCGTCAAGGTAACTAACACAGACCACCTCTCACTCACTGTCAAGGTAACTAACACAGACCACCTCTCACTCACTGTCAAGGTAACTAACACAGACCACCTCTCACTCGCTGTCAAGGTAACTAACACAGACCACCTCTCACTCACTGTCAAGGTAACTAACACAGACCACCTCTCACTCACTGTCAAGGTAACTAACACAGACCACCTCTCACTCCTTTCAAGGTAACTAACACAGACCACCTCTCACTCGCCGTCAAGGTAACTAACACAGACCACCTCTCACTCACTGTCAAGGTAACTAACACAGACCACCTCTCACTCGCTGTCAAGGTAACTAACACAGACCACCTCTCACTCACCGTCAAGGTAACTAACACAACCACCTTCTCATCACTTCGTTAACCAAACAGACACCTCTCATCACTGTCAGGTAACTAACACAGACACTCTCACTCCCGTCAAGGTAACTAACACAGAGCACCTCTCACTCACTGCAATGGTAATAACAGACCCCTTCACTCACTGTCAAGGTACAACACAGACACCTCTCACTCACGTCAAGGAACTAACACAGAACACCTCTCACTCCCGTCAAGGTACTAACCAGACCACCTCTCACCCGTCAAGGTAAATAACACAACCTTCACTCACCGTCAAGGTACTAAAACAACTCTCACTCGCTGTCAAGGTAACTAACACAGACCACTTCATCCACCGTCAAGGTAACAACACAGACACCTTCACTCACTGTCAAGGTAACCCACCAGAACACATCTCATCACCGCAAGGTAACTAACAAGGACACCTCACACTGTCAGTACCCAGACACGGACCACCTCACTCATGTCAAGGAACTAAAGACCACCCTCACCATTCAAGGTACCAACACAGACCACATCTCACTCATGTCAGTAACAACACAGACCACCTCTCACTCACCGCAGGTACCAACAAGACACTCTCACTATGTCAAGGTAAACTAACACAGACCACCTCTCACTCATGTAAGGTAACCCAACACAGACCACCTCTCACTCACTGTCAAGGTAACTAACACAGACCACCTCTCACTCACTGTCAAGGTAACTAACACAGACCACCTCTCACTCACTGTCAAGGTAACTAACACAGACCACCTCTCACTCGCCGTCAAGGTAACTGCAAGCACAACCAGAACTGTGTTAGTGAATATGTTTGATGTACTGCTAAATAGCAAATGGAAAGAGTTCTGCTGTTGCCAAATAGATGACAGTCTATTCTAAATGAATAGAAGAGAGGATCGGATAGCTGGTTGGTCTGGGTGTCTCAGGACAGCAGGCGTCTGTAGATGGAGCCGCTGGACAGCACTGATAAACTGGTGTCTTCCCCCTAACCCCAACTCTAACCCCACTGATATTTTCAACCTACACCTGACCCGGTCTGTAAAACTAACTTGTTTCAAGTAGACCACCATAGTCCCCGTTCCCAAGAACGCCATGGTAACCTGCCTAAATGACTATCGCCCCTAGCACTCACATCTGTAGCCATGAAATGCTTTGAAAGGCTGGTCATGGCTCACATCAACACCATCATCCCAGACACCCTGGACCCACTCCAATTCGCATACCACCCCAACAGATCCACAGATGATGCAATCTCTATTGCACTCCACACTGCCCTCACCCACCTGGTCAAAAGGAATACCTATGTAAGAATGCTGTTCATTGACTATAGCTCTGCATTCAACACCATAGTCCCCTCCAAGCTCATCACCAAGCTAAGGACCCTGGGACTGAAGACCTCCCTCTGCAACTGGATCCTGGACTTCCTGACGTGCCGCCCCCAGGTGGTGAGGGTAGGCAACACCTCCGCCACACTGACCCTCAACACGGTGGCCCCTCAGGGGTGCGTGCTTAGTCCCCTCCTGTACTCCCTGTTCACCCACCACTGAGTGGCCTCACATGACTCCAACACCATCATCAAGTTTGCTGACGACACGACGGTGGTAGGCCTGATCACCGACGACAATGAGACAGCCTACAGGGAGGAGGTCAGGGACCTGGCCGTGTGGTGCCAGGACAACAACCTCAATGTCAGCAAGACAAAGGAGCTGATCATGGACCACAGGAAACGGAAGGACGGGTACGCCCCCATTCACATCTGTAGTGGAGCGGGTCGTGAGCTTCCAGTGCCCCGGTGTCCACATCACTAAGGAATTATGATGGTCCACATACACCCACACAGTTGTGAAGAGGGTACGACAGCGCCTCTTCCCCCTTAGGAGGCTGACAAGATTTGGCAATGGCCCTCAGATCCTCAAAAAGTTTTACAGCTGCACCATTGAGAGCATCTTGACTGGCTGCATCACCGCCTGGTACAGCAAGGCCTCCGACAGCAAGGCGCTACAGAGGGTGGTGCGTACGGCCCAGTACATCACTGGGGCCGAGCTTCCTGCCATCTAGGACCTCTATACCAGGCGGTGTCAGAGGAAGGTCAAAATAAATTGTCAGGCTCCAGCCACCCAAGCCGTAGACTGTTCTCCCTGATACCAGCTGGAACCAGCAGGACCCTGAACACCTTCAACCCCCAAGCCATAACACTGCTACAATGACACACACACACACACTACATGCGCCCACATGCATACTGACGCCACACACACACGTTCACATTCACCACATACGCTGCTGCTACTATCTATTATCTATCCTGTTGTCTAGTCACTTTACCCCTATCTACAGTATACTGCTGCTACTGTCTATTATCTATCCTGTTGCCTAGTCACTTTACCCCTACCTACAGTATACTGCTGCTACTGTCTATTATCTATCCTGTTGTCTAGTCACTTTACCCCTACCTACAGTATACTGCTGCTACTGTCTAGTATCTATCCTGTTGTCTAGTCACTTTACCCCTACCTACAGTATACTGCTGCTACTGTCTATTATCTATCCTGTTGTCTAGTCACTTTACCCCTACCTACAGTATACTGCTGCTACTGTCTATTATCTATCCTGTTGTCTAGTCCCTTTACCCCTACCTACAGTATACTGTGCTACAGCTCAGTCTATTAATCTATCCTGTTGCCTAGTCACTTTACCCCTACCTACAGTATACTGCTGCTACTGTCTATTATCTATCCTGTTGTCTAGTCCCGTTACCCCTACCTACAGTTACTGCGGCTACTGTCTATTATCTATCCTGTTGTCTAGTCCCTTTACCCCTACCTACAGTATACTGCTGCTACTGTCTATTATCTATCCTGTTGCCTAGTCCCTTTACCCCTACCTACAGATACTGCTGCTACTGTCTATTATCTATCCTGTTGGTCTAGTCACTTTACCCCTACCTACAGTATACTGCTGCTACTGTCTATTATCTATCCTGTTGTCTAGTCCCTTTACCCCTACCTACAGTATACTGCTGCTACTGTCTATTATCTATCCTGTTGTCTAGTCACTTTACCCCTACCTACAGTATACTGCTGCTACTGTCTTTTATCTATCCGTTGTCTAGTCACTTTACCCCTACCTACAGTATACTGCTGCTACTGTCTATTATCTATCCTGTTGTCCTAGGTCACTGCGTTTTATACCAACAGCTGACCGGTTACATGATACTGCGGCTAACTGTCTAGTATCTATCCTGTTGTCTAGTCACTTTACCCCTCACCTACATGTATACTGCTGCTACTGTATAACTTATCTATACCTGTTTGTCTTAGTTCCATTTTAACTCTATCTAATATGTACATATCTACCTCGAATTACCTTGTAACCATGCCACATTGGACTCGGTACTTGGTACTCCCTGTATATAGCCATGGTATTACCTTGGTTAGCTCCCCCTGTATATAGCCATGGTATTACCTGGTACTCCCTGTATATCGAGCCATGGTATTGACCTGGTATTCTCTCCCTGTGATATAGCCATGGTATTACCTGAGTACTCCCTGTATATAGCCATGTTATTACCTGGTACTCCCCTGGTATTGCCATGGTATTACCTGGTACTTCCTGTATATAGCCCATGGTATTTACCTGGGTACTCCCTGTACTATAGCCATGTTATTACCTGGTACTCCCTGTATATAGCCATGGTATTACCTGGTACTTCCTGTATATAGCCATGGTATTACCTGGTACTTCCTGTATATAGCCATGGTATTACCTGATACTTCCTGTATATAGCCATGGTATTACCTGGTACTTCCTGTATATAGCCATGTTATTACCTGGTACTCCCTGTATATAGCCATGGTATTTTTCCTTGTTACTGTTATTCACTGTGTATTTATTCCTTCTGTCACTTTCTATTTTTATTGTATTTTTTATCTTTAACTTTCCATCGTTGGCTAAGGACCCGTAAGTACGTTTAAAAAAAAAACATTTATTTGAACCCTCTCCCACACACTCACCTTAACCCTCACTCTAACTTCAGAAGATGGAGCTGCTGGACAGCACTGAAAAACTGGTGATCTGTGTCTCCCTCACCCCAACTCTAACCTAACCCCAACTCTAACCTAACCCCAACTTTAACCTAACCCTCACTCTAACTTCAGGAGAGTAGGCGTCTGGAGATGGAGCTGCTGGACAGCACTGAAAAACTGGTGATCTGTGTCTCCCTCACCCCAACTCTAACCTAACCCCAACTCTAACCTAACCCCAACTCTAACCTAACCCCAACTCTAACCTAACCCCAACTCTAACCTAACCCCAACTCTAACCCCAACTCTAACTCTAACCCCAACTCTAACTCTAACCCTCACTCTAACTTCAGGAGAGTAGGCGTCTGGAGATGGAGCTGCAGGACAGGACTGAGAAACTGGTGGAGGCAGAAAGCCAAGTCCGCAAACTGCAGAGGAATCTGGATAACATCCTGAAGGAAAAGGTAAAAGACCATTCTCTCCTACAATATTGTGTATTGACATTAACTTCCAGCCAAAACAGCAGTCGTAAAGAGCACGTTTCAAGAATATACAGTACCAGTCAAAAGTTTGGACACACCTACTCATTCCAGTTTTTTTTTTTTTTGTACTATTTCCTATATTGTAGAATAATAGTGAAGACATCAAAACTATAAAATAACACATATGGAATCATGTAGTAACCAAAAAAGTGTTAAATAAATCTAAATATATTTGAGATTCTTCAAAGTAGCCACCCTTTGCCTTGATGACAGCTTTGCACATGAGGAATGCTTTTCCAACAGTCTTGAAGGAGTTCCCACATATGCTGAGCACTTGTTGGCTGCTTTTCCTTCACTCTGCAGTCCAACTCATCCCAAACCATCTCAATTGGGTTGAGGTCGGGTGATTGTGGAGGCCAGGTCATCTGATGCAGCACTCCATCACTCTCCTTCTTGGTAAAATAGCCCTTGCACACCCTGGAGGTGTGTTTTGGGTCATTGTCCTGCTAAAAAACAAATTACCTCCCACTAAGCGCAAACCAGATGGGATGGTGTATCGCTGCAGAATGCTGTGGTAGCCATGCTGGTTAAGTGTGCCTTGAATTCTAAATAAATCACTGACAGTGTCACCAGCAAAGCATCATCACACCACCTCCTCCATGCTTCACGGTGGAAACCACACATGTGGAGATCATCCGTTCACCTACTCTGCGTCTCACAAAGACCCGGTTGGAACCAAATATCTCAAATATGGACTCATCAGACCAAAGGACAGATTTCCACCGGTCTAATGTCCATTGCTCGTGTTTCTTGGCCCAAGCAAGTCTCTTCTTCTTATTGGTGTTCTTTAGTAGTGGTTTATTTGCAGCAATTCGACCACGAAGGCCTGATTCACGCAGTCTCCTCTGAACAGTTGATGTTGAGATATGTCTGTTACTTGAATTCTGTGAAGCATTTATTTGGGCTGCAATTTTTGAGGCTCGTAACTCTAATGAACTTATCCTCTGCAGCAGAGGTAACTCTGGGTCTTCCTTTCCTGTGGCGGTCCTCATGAGAGCCAGTTTCATCATAGCGCTTGATGGTTTTTGTGACTGCACTTGAAGAAACTTTCAAAGTTCTTGAAATCTTCCGGATTGACTGACCTTCATGTCTTAAAGTAATGATGGATTGTCGTTTCTCTTTGCTTATTTGAGCTGTTCTTGCCATAATATGGACTTGGTCTTTTACCAAATAGGGCTATCTTCTGTATACCACCCCTACCTTGTCACAACACAACTGATTGGCTCAAACGCATTAAGAAGGAATGAAATTCCACAAATTAACTTTAACAAGGCACACCTGTTAATTGAAATGCATTCCAGGTGACTAACTCATGAAGCTTGTTGAGAGAATGCCAAGAGTGTGCAAAGCTGTCATCAAGGCGAAGGGTGGCTATTTGAAGAATTTCAAATATAAAATATATTTTGATTTGTTTAACACTTTTTTGGTTACTACATGATTCCATATGTGTTATTTAATAGTTTCGATGTCTTCACTATTATTCTACAATGTAGAAAATAGTAAAAAAATAAAGAAAAACCCTTGAATGAGTAGGTGTGTCCAAACTTTTGACTGGTACCGTAGTAGATCTCCATAGTAATCTGATGTCACACGTTTTTCAGTACTGGCTAATGGAATGAGGATCTATATCTGTCCCTATGAACCCCTTGGTGTTGGTTCTGTTTGCTCAGTTTGGGGACCTGGACCTGGACCCAGGCGGTGCAGAGTTCTTCCTACAGGAGGAGCGGCTCAGACGGCTACGCAGCAGCTATGAGGAACAGTGCCGGGTAAGTGTGCTTACTGGAAACAGACGTGTGCACGCACACACACACACACACACACACACACAGACAGACAGACAGACAGACAGACAGACAGACAGAGACACAGACACAGACAGAGAGACAGAGAGACAGAGAGACAGAGAGACAGAGAGACAGAGACACAGACACAGACACAGACACAGACAGAGACAGAGACAGAGACAGAGACAGAGACACAGACACAGACAGACGCAGGACACAGGAGTAGACAAGAAGCAGTGCCGGGTAGTAGCTCTCACTGGAACCAATCATTCAACTAATCATTAAAACTATCTATCTATCAACTAACTTCAGAGGTAGGTTGCCTGTTTTTTTTTAAAATACTAATATTTCTGTTTTGACTGATTTTATTGTGAATTTGTGTGTTTGTTTGTGGCAGGAGCTGCAGGATCGCATCGATGAGCTTCAAGCAGAGCTGCAGGAGTACCACAAACTGGGTCGCACCACTAGGCCCTGTCTCAAACCCTCGCTCTCTGAGGAGCTGGGGAGCAAGAGTCCTGGCATGGAGTCAGACCCAGGTACATTGAAGCAAAACATCGGTTTGAACTCATTCAGCATTGGGGGGGGGGTAACTTTGAGCAAGGTGATGTGCGTACATGTTGCATTCTAAATGGCAACCACTATTCCTATATGTATTGGACTTCAGTATTTTGCAGACCTTATAGATAACCCAACACAGGACCACCTCTCACTCACTGGCAAGGTAACTAACACAGACCACCTCTCACTCACTGTCCAAGGTAACCCAACACAGACCACTTCTCACTCATGTCAAGTAATAACACAGACACCTATCACTCACCGTCAAGGTAACCCAACACAGACCACCTCTCACTCATGTCAGGTAACTAACACAGACCACTCTAACTCACGTCAGGGTAACCCAACCAACAGACCACCTCTCACTCACTGTCAAGGTAATAAAACAGACCCACTCTCACTTCATGTCAAGGTAACTAACACAGACACCTCTCAATCAATGTCAAGGTAACTAACACAAGACCAACCTCTCACTCGCCCGGTCAAGGTAACTACACAGACCACCTCTCACTCACTGTCAAGGTTTAGCAGCAAGCCCAACAGACCTGTGTTAAGTGAATATTGTTTGATGGTACTGCGAATAGCAAAATGGAAAGAGTTTCTGATGTTGCCAAAATAGATGACAGTCTATTCTAAATGAATAGAGAGAGGGATCGGATAGATGGTTGGTCTGTGGGTGTCTTCAGGACCAGCAGAGTCTGTAGATTGAGCCGCTGGACGCCACTGATAAAAATGGTGTCGTCTCCCCCTAACCCAACTCTAACCCACTGATATTTTCAACCTACACCTGACACGGTATGTAAAACTAACTTGTTTAAAGTAGACACCATAGTCCCCGTTCCCTAAGAACGCCACAAGAACGCCCTGGTAAACTTTGCCTAAATGACTACCGCACATAGCACTCGCATCTGTAGCCATTAAAGGATGAATCATGGATCACATTAAACACAAGCATCCGAGACACCCTGGACCCACTCAATTAACATACCATCACCAACAGATCCATCTCAGAGTGATGCAATCTCTATTGCACTAACCACTGCCCTCACCCACCTGAGTCAAAAGGCATACCATGTAAGAATGTGTTTCATTGACTATAGCTCTGCATTTTCAACACCATAGTGCCACTCCAAGCCTCATTCACCCAAAGCTAAGGACCCTGGGACTGAAGGCCTCCCTCCTATGCAACTGGATCCTGCCGACTCCTGACGGCCGCCCCCCCAGGTGGCGCCCCCCCAGGGTGGTGAGGGTAGGCAAAACCTCGAGCCACACTGACCTCAACCCGGTGGCCCCTCAGGGGTGGTGCTTAGTCCCCTGTACTCTCTGTCACCCACCACGAGTGGCCTCACATGCACTCCAAAACACCATCATCAAGTTGCTGACAAACGACCGGTGTAGGCCTGAATCACCGGACGACAATGAGACAGCCTACAGGGAGGAGGTCAGGGACTGGCCGTGTGGTGCAGGACAAAAAACCTCAATGTCAGCAAGACAAAAGGAGTGATCATGGACCACGGAAACGGAAAGGAAGGGTACGCCCCAATTCACATCTGTAGGGGCCAGCGGGTCAAGAGCTTCAGTTCCCCGGTGTCACCTCACTAAGGAATATGATGGTCCACATACACCAACACAGTTGTTGTAGAGGCACTACGGACAGGCCTTTCCCCCTTAGGAGGATGACAAGATTTGGCAGGGCCCCTAGATCCTCAAAATGTTCTACAGCTCCACCATTGAGAGATTCTTGGGATGGTGCATCACCGCCTGGTACAGCAAGGCCTCCGACAGCAAGGCGCTTAAGAGGGTGGGCGTATGGCCCAGTACATCACTGGGGCCGAGCTTCCTTGCCATCTAGGACCTCTATACCAGGCGGTGTCAGGAGGAAGGTCAAAATACATTGTCAGGCTCCAGCCACCCAAGCCCATAGACTGTTCTCCCTGATACCCGGCTGGAACCAGCAGGGACATGAAACCTTCAACCCCCCAAGCCCATAACACTGCCTACAATGACACTACACACACACACTACATGCGCCCACTCCACATTACATGCGCCCAATGCATGCTGACGCCACACAACACACATTCACATCTCACAACATACGCTGCTGCCTAAGTCTATTATCTATCCTGCTGTCTAGTCACTTTTACCCCTACCATACCGTATATGCTGCTACTGCTATTATCTATCATGTCTAGTCACTTACCCCTACCTACAGTTACTGCTGCTTACTGTCTATTAATATATCCTGTTGTTGTATAGTCACTTTACCCCTACTTACAGTATAATGATGCTCGGTCATTTCTATCCTGTTTGTCTAGTCCCTTTTACCCATACCTACAGATACTGCTGATACTGTATATTATTCTATCGTTGTTCTAGTCCTTTACCCCACCTACGTATACTGCTGCTACTGTCTATTATCTTCCTGTGGCTAGTCACTTTACCCCGACCTACAGTATACTGCTCTACTGTCTTATAATCATATTCCTGTTGTATAGTCCCTTTACCCTATATAATATGTTACATATCTACCTCAATTACCTTGTAACCCTTGCACATTACATTGACTCGGTTTGTACTGGTACTCCATGATATAGGCCATGGTATTACTGGTACTCCCTGTATATACATGGTCATTAACTGGTACTTCCTGTATATAGCCATGGTAATTACCTGGTACTCCCTGTTATAGCCATGTATTACATGGTACTCACTGTATATAGCCATGGTATTACCGGGGTTACTCCCTGATATAGCCATGGTATTACCTGGTATCCCTGTATATAGCCGGTATTACCTGGTACTCCTGTTTGATATAGCCATGTATACCTGGGATCCCTGTATATAGCCATGGTATAACTGCGTACTCACTTGTATATAGCATGGTATTAATGGACTTCCTGTATATAGCCATGGTATACCTGGTACTTCCTGTATATAGACATGGTATTACCCTGGTACTCCCTTGTATATAGCCATGGTATCTACCTGGGACTCCCTGTATAAGCCATGGTATTACCTGGGTACTCCCTGTTATAGCCATGGTATTACCTGGTACTTCCGTTGTATATAGCCATGGTATTACCTGGTACTCCCTGTATATAGCCCATGTATACCTGGTATCCCTGTAGATAAGCCATGGTATTCCTGGTACGCCCTGTATATAGCCATGTATTACCTGGTACTCCCTGTATATAGCCCATGGTATTACCTGTACTCCCTGTATATAGCCATGGTATTACTCGGTACTTCCGGTATATAGCCATGGTATTACCTGGTACTTCCTGTATATAGCCCATGGTATTACCTGGTACTTCCCTGTATATAGCCATGGTATTTTTCCTTGTTACTGTTATTCACTGTGTATTTATTCCTTCTGTCACTTTCTATTTTTATTGTATTTTTTATCTTTAACTTTCCATCGTTGGCAAAGGACCCGTAAGTACGTTTTAAAAAAAACATTTATTTGAACCCTCTCCCACACACTCACCTTAACCCTCACTCTAACTTCAGAAGATGGAGCTGCTGGACAGCACTGACAAAACTGGTGATCTGTGTATCCCTCACACCCAAACTCTAACCTAACCCCAACTCTAACCTAACCCCAACTCTAACCTAACCCCAAGGAGAGTAGGCGTCTGGAGATGGAGCTGCTGGACAGGACTGAGAAACTGGTGGAGGCAGAAAGCCAAGTCCGCAAACTGCAGAGGAATCTGGATAACATCCTGAAGGAAAAGGTAAAAGACCATTCTCTCCTACAATATTGTGTATTGACATTAACTTCCAGCCAAAACAGCAGTCGTAAAGAGCACGTTTCAAGAATATACAGTACCAGTCAAAAGTTTGGACACACCTACTCATTCCAGTTTTTGTTTTGTTTTTTGTACTATTTCCTACATTGTAGAATAATAGTGAAGACATCAAAACTATAAAATAACACATATGGAATCATGTAGTAACCAAGAAAGTGTTAAATAAATCTAAATATATTTGAGATTCTTCAAAGTAGCCACCCTTGCTTGATGACAGCTTTGCACATGAGGAATGCTTTTCCAAACAGTCTTGAAGGAGTTCCAACATATGCTGAGCACTTGTTGGCTGCTTTTCCTTCACTCTGCAGTCCAACTCATCCCCAAACCATCTCAATTGGGTTGAGGGTCGGGGGATTGTGGAGGCCAGGTCATCTGATGCAGCACTCCATCAACTCTCCTTCTTGGTAAAATAGCCCTTGCACACCCTGGAGGTGTGTTTTGGATCATTGTCCTGCTAAAAAACAAATTACAGTCCCACTAAGCGCAAACCAGATGGGATGGTGTATCGCTGCAGAATGCTGTGGTAGCCATGCTGGTTAAGTGTGCCTTGAATTCTAAATAAATCACTGACAATGTCACCAGCAAAGCATCATCACACCACCTCCTCCATGCTTCACGGTGGAAACCACACATGTGGAGATCATCCGTTCACCTACTCTGCGTCTCACAAAGACACGGTTGGAACCAAATATCTCAAATATGGACTCATCAGACCAAAGGACAGATTTCCACCGGTCTAATGTCTATTGCTCGTGTTTCTTGGCCCAAGCAAGTCTCTTCTTCTTATTGGTGTCGTTTAGTAGTGGTTTATTTGCAGCAATTCGACCACGAAGGCCTGATTCACGCAGTCTCCTCTGAACAGTTGATGTTGAGATGTGTCTGTTACTTGAATTCTGTGAAGCATTTATTGGCCTGCAATTTCTGAGGCTGGTAACTCTATGAACTTATCCTCTGCCAGCAGAGGTAAACTCTGGGTCTTCCTTTCTGTGGCGGGTCCTCATGAGAGCAGTTTCATCATAGCGCTTGATGGTTTTTGTGACTGCACTTGAAGAAACTTTCAAAGTTCTTGAAATCTTCCGGATGGACTGACCTTCATGTTCTTAAAGTAATGATGGATTGTCGTTTCTCTTTGCTTATTTGAGCTGTTCTTGCCATAATATGGACTTGGGTCTTTTACCAAATAGGGCTATCTTCTGTCTACCACCCCATACCTTGTCACAAACAACTGATTGGCTCAAACGCATTAAGAAGGACATGAACTTCCACAAATTAACTCTTAACAAGGCACACTGTTAATTGAAATGCATTCCAGGTGACTAACTCATGAAGCTTGTTGAGAGAATGCCAAGAGTGTGCAAAGCTTGTCATCAAGGCGAAGGGTGGCTATTTGAAGAATTTCAAATATAAAATATTATTTTGATTTGTTTAACACTTTTTTGGTTACTACATGATTCCATATGTGTTATTTCATAGTTTTGATGTCTTCACTATTATTCTACAATGTAGAAAATAGTAAAAAAATAAAGAAAAACCCTTGAATGAGTAGGTGTGTCCAAACTTTTGACTGGTACCGTAGTAGATCTCCATAGTAATCTGATGTCACACGTTTTTCAGTACTGGCTAATGGAAGGAGGATCTATATCTGTCCCTATGAACCCCTTGGTGTTGGTTCTGTTTGCTCAGTTTGGGGACCTGGACCCAGGCGGTGCAGAGTTCTTCCTACAGGAGGAGCGGCTCAGACGGCTACGCAGCAGCTATGAGGAACAGTGCCGGGTAAGAACGCTTACTGGAAACAGACGTGTGCACACAGACACGTACGCAGACGCACACACACACACACACACAGACACACACACACACACACACACACAGACAGACAGACACACAGACACAGACAGACAGACAGACAGACAGACAGACACAGACAGACACAGACAGACAGACAGACACAGAGACACAGACACAGAGACACACAGAGACACACAGAGACACACAGAGACACAGACAGACAGAGACACACAGAGACACACAGAGACACACAGAGACACACCAGAGACACACAGAGACACACAGAGACACACAGAGACACACAGAGACACACAGAGACACAGACCGCCAGACAGACAGAAGTAGATAAGAAGCAGTGCCGGGTAATAGCTCTCACTGGAACCATCATTCAACTAATCATTAAAACAATCAATCTATCAACTAACTTCAGAGGTAGGTTGCCTGTTTTTTTTTTTATACTAATATTTCTGTTTTGACTGATTTTATTGTGAATTTGTGTGTTTGTTTGTGGCAGGAGCTGCAGGATCGCATCGATGAGCTTCAAGCAGAGCTGCAGGAGTACCACAAACTGGGTCGCACCACTAGGCCCTGTCTCAAACCCTCGCTCTCTGAGGAGCTGGGGAGCAAGAGTCCTGGCATGGAGTCAGACCCAGGTACATTGAAGCAAAACATCGGTTTGAACTCATTCAGCATTGGGGGGGGGGGGGGTGGTTGTAACTTTGAGCAAGGTGATGTGCGTACAAGTAGCATCCTAAATGGCACCCTATTTCCTATGTAGTGCACTTCTTTAGACCAGAGAATGGCACCCTATTTCCTATGTAGTGCACTTCTTTTGACCTTATAGATGCATCTCTTATGTCCAGATAACCCGCAAACGTCTTCTCGGAAAGTCATAAGGGCGTCTGGGGATATCTGTTTGAGCAAGGCAAGATGTAGAATCTCTAATCTTGATCACGTAGTGAGTAGTTTATTGGATGCAAGGTGATTTTTAAAGATCAGTGATTTTGCCCGGTACAACAGCAATGTTGTCAAGGCTGAGGTGTATGATGTGTGGAAGTCAGGCGCAGGACACCGAAGCTTAGTCCAACAAAGTTTACTGTGAAAAACCACCAGGCAAGGATACAGTAAACGGCCTCAACAAAACAGAGGCGAGCAATACGCAAAACTATGCGTATAACAAATAAACAAAAAAAAAACAGATACAAAAACACGCAGCACTACGGACAGGCGAAAAACAACACACAATCTAACCAATGCAAAAACAGGGAACTTATAGGACACGTAATCAGACACAAACGGACACAGGTGTAAAAGACAGACCAAAGCAATCACACCAAGAAACATTCAACGGTGGGCAGCTAGTACTCCGGGGACGGCGAACGCCGAAGCCTGCCCGAACCAGGAGGAGGAGCAGTCTCGGCAGAATCCGTTGACAGTACCCCCCCCTTGAACGCGCGGGCTCCAGCCGTTGCGCCGACCCCGGCCTCGGGGACGGCCAGGAGGACGCGGACCCGGGCGCGTGGGATGCCCACGGTGGAACTCAGTCAGGAGGGACGGATCTAGGATGTCCCTCCTAGGCACCCAGCACCGTTCCTCCGGACCGTACCCCTCCCACTCCACGAGATATGGAGACCACTCATCCGGCGCCTCGAGTCCAAGATGGTCCGGACCCCTGTACGCCGGGGGCCCCCCTCGATGTCCAAAGGGGGCGGAGGGGTCTCTCCTATCTCATCTTCTTGGAGTGGGCCAGCCACCACCGGCCTGAGAAGAGGACGCATGGAACGAGGGGTTAATATTCTTGTATCAATAGGCAGTTGTAACCTGTAACACACCTCGTTCAATCTTCTCAGGACTTTAAAGGGCCCCACAACCGCCGACCCAGCTTCCGGCAGGGCAGGCGGAGGGGCAGGTTTCGAGTCGAGAGCCAGACTCGATCTCCCGGTGCGTACACCGGTCCCTCACTGCGGTGGCGATCGGCGCTCGCCTTTTGTTGACGGATGGCCCGCTGCAGATGGACATGGGCAGCGTCCCACGTCTCCTCCGAGCGCCGAATCCACTCGTCTACCGCAGGGGCCTCGATCTGGCTCTCGTGCCATGGTGTCAGGACCGGCTGATACCCTAAAACACACTGGAAAGGTGTTAAATTGGTGGAGGAGTGGCGGAGAGAGTTCTGGGCCATCTCTGCCCAGGGGATATACCTAGACCACTCCTTTCGGCCGGTCCCCGGCAATAGGACCTCAGAAACCTACCCACATCCTGGTTGACGTCGTTCAACCTGCCCATTGCTCTCTGGGTGGTACCCCAAGGTAAGGCTTACCGAGACCCCCAAGCGTTCCATGAACGCCCCCCCAAACTCTGGAGGTGAACTGGGGACCTCGGTCAGACACAATATCCTCGGGGGACCCCAATAGTGCCGGAACACGTGGGTAAATAGGGGCCTCAGCGGTCTGTAGGGCAGTAGGGAGACCCGGCATTGGTGAGGAGACGACAGGGCCTTGGAAAACCGATCCACAACGACCAAAATGGTGGTATTCCCCTGGGCGGGGGGGGTAGGTCGGTCACCAAAATCCACCGAGAGGTGGGACCATGGTCGTTGTGGAACGGGCAGGGGATGGTAACTTACCCCTGGGCAAATGTCTAGGCGCCTTACACTGGGCGCACACCGAGCAGGAGGAGACATAAACCCTCCCAGCATCCCTAGCTAACGTTGGCCACCAGTATTTCACGCTAAGGCAGTGCACTGTCCGGCCAATACCTGGATGTCCAGAGGAGGGTGATGTATGAGCCCAATAAATCAGACGATCACGAAACCCTCGAGCGGAACGTACGTCCGCCCCACAGGACACTCGTGGGGAGTAGGGTCGGTACGCAGTGCCGCTCAATTTCCGCATCGACCTCCCACACCACCGGAGCCACCAGACAAGACTCCGGCAGTATGGAAGTAGGCTCAATGGACCTCTCCTCTGTGTCATACCGCCGGGACAGGGCGTCTGCCTTACCGTTCTGGGACCCTGGGATGTATGTGATCTTAAAAAACAAACAGGTCAGGAACATGTTCCACCTAGCCTGACGAGGTTCAATCTCCTAGCTGCCCGGATGTACTCCAGGTTACGGTGATCAGTCAGAATGAGGGGAAAGGGTGTTGAGCCCCCTCAAGCCAATGCCTTCCACACCTTTAGGGCTCTGGACTACAGCTAACAGCTCCTTGTCCCCAACGTCATAATTACGCTCCGCCGAGTGAGCTTCTGGGAGTATAGATAGAACGCACGGGTCGGGAGGAGCTTAGTGTGGCGTGCAGGACCGTTGCGACAGGAACTGCCCAAATGCGGCCTCGGGACGCGTTCTACCTCTACGTGGAATGGGAAGCGGGATCCGGATCTGCGCCCCGCCAGCACCGGGCGAGGTGAACAGGTTCTTCAAGTTTGACAAATGCCCTGTACCGCCTCAGCTTTTGACACGGCAAACGAACCGGACCCCCCTTTAGCAGGGGACCGTAATGGGGAGCTGCAACCCGTCCAAAGCCCCGGATAAACCTACGGTACAGTAATTAGCAAAACCCAAGAACTGCCTGCATCACATCTTTTACAGTGGTTGGAGTTTGGCCAATTACGCTACGGCCGGACCACGTTCTACCGATATCTCCACACCAGACGCGGACAACCGAGAACCCAAAAAGGGATGACGTCTGGAAAAAAGACAGGCATTTCTCTGCACTTGACATACAAGTATGCTCCAACAGTCTTCTCAAAAACTGGCGCACCAGGGCACATGCCGGCTCGTGTAGAAGAGTACCTAGGTGTCGTCGATGTATACTACACACCTGCCCATGTATGTCCCGGCAAAAATCTCGTCAACAAAGATAGGACATTGGAAGAATGAAGGAGCATTCATTAACCCGTTATATGGCATGACGCGATATCATCGTTAAGACCCGGAGGGGTGGTTGCTAAATGCTGTCTTCCATTTCATCCCCCTCCCTAATTGCGAACAGATTGTACGCGCTCCTGAGTCCAACTTTGTGAAGAACCGCGCTCCGCGTAATGATTCTTGTCATAGTGCAATCAGTGGAGAAAGAGGGTAAAACTGTACTTCCCGTGATTGATTGAGATACAGGTAGTCAATTACACGGGCGCAAACCCCCGTCCTTCTTCTTCACAAAGAAGAACCTCAAGGAAACCGGGGAAGGGGACGAGGGGGGGAAGTGGGGGAGTGGGGAAGTGGAGGACCGTGTATGTATCCCTGTGCCAGGATCGGCTATGTAAGTTCCCATAGCCGCTGTCCTCCTCTTGAGAACAGGGGATACCACACGGCTCCGCGGAAGGGCCGATCCTGTTTGGAGGATTTAGATTTATCGCACAATCCCCCTGTCTATGAGGTGGTGGTATAGCAGTTGTTGCCCTCGTTTTGCTGACCACAAGTGCAAAATCTCCATACTCTAGGGGGAATGCGCATTTGACGGGCCACTTGTTCGGACTCTATACCGAGGTCGCCCCTAAGAAACACCTAGGACATCTCCCGTACCATGGGCAGACCACTCATAAGAGCCCTCTGTTGACACGCAATGTAGTATTCATGGGCGCTTAACCAGGGAAGCCCCAGACCACGGGAGGATAAGCAAGGAGAGTCAATCAGATAAAAACTGAATGATCTCCTCATGACCCCCCTGCGTACGTCATTTAGTGGTGCTGTGACTTCTCTGATCAGCCCGACCCAAACGGCCGGTTGTCTAGGGAGTGGTGAAGGGGGGAAACAGGAAAAAGGGGGCCTATCTACCGGCCCTAAGGGAATTCTAACTATAACAAAATGCACAACCACAATCAACAAAATTCCCAGCTGAGCCTGATCTACTAGCGGCCTTATGCTGGGAAAGGAGGTGCCCACCTGTGGAAATCTCACAGGTATACTCAGGTGGCCAAAGAGAGCTCTGGGTTGGTAAGTGGGGCGCCTACTCCCTGAAATGACTTCCCCAGTGCCTTCCCTGGGAAATGTGGGTAAAATCTACAAACGGAGAACATAACAACAGCACCCATGGCCGAGGATCTGGGTCCTCCACGGCCCCAGTTGGTGCAGGGGATGGCACCCACTCGGGTTTCTCTCCTCCTCTCTCTAGCGCAGCACCCACGAGCTCATGGGAATCGGCTCGGAGGTGATGGGAGGGTGGATGGAAGGCGGACCCCCAAACTCGGGACGTCCGCGGGTAGCCAGCAGGGGGGTCGAGCGGATGGAGATGTCACCAACTGGTCGAAGGATAGGTTGGTTGTCCCTGCAGGCCAGTTCACGACGAACGTCCTCTCGTAGGCTTACACCGGTAATGGTCGATGAGGGCCCTCTCATTCAGAGTCCGGAATCCCAGGCGAACTCCGGTGCGCTCCTCTCCCTGTCGGCGGTGGAACAGACGCTCCCCCGCCGCCTTCCCCTCAGGTGGTTGATTCGAAGACAAGCCTGAGCGGCGGAGGAGGAGAGAACTCCGCGTGGTGATGGTTTTCGCGGCGGTCTATTCAACCTCCATTCGGCGTTGGACACTCCAACGCCTTGCCGGGATAGACAGGAGATGAGGGCGGAGACGCTCTCGTTTTATCACGAGGGCGTCTGGGTGTATGGTAGCCAGGTAGAGTTCCACCTGCAGGAGGAACCCTGACACACGGCTGCAGAACCGTCATATGCCCTCGGGAGAGAAGAGCCGTATGCCACTGGGTTACGGTGATGAGAGAGGAGGACTGGCCGTTGGTGATGGGATGAGTGTGCGAAGGCGTGGGCCACTCTCCAGTAACCAACAGGCCGCCAGCCAGGCAGAGTGTTGGACACCTCGTTCAGTGGCGGCCCAAAGTTGCCGGACATGGTGTCTGGCGCTGATCCGATCCTCCAGCGACTTGGTTGCCGCACCATGCTCATGCGACTCCATAAGGGGGTGTTGTTCTGTCAAGGCTGAGGTCCCCGTTATGATGTGTGGAAGGCAGGCGAAGAGACACCGAAGCTTAGTCCAACAAAGTATACTGTGAAAAACCACCAGCAAGGATACACGTAAAACGGCCTCAACAAAAAACAGAGGTGAGCATACGCAACTATGCGTTATAACAAATAAACAAACAAAAAAGATACAAAAACACGCAGCATACGGACAGGCGAAAAAAACAAACACCACAATTACCCAATGCAAAACAGGGAACTATAGGGACCCCCGTAATCAGAACACAACGGACACAGGTGTAAAAGAAGCCAAAGCAATCACACAAAAGAAAAATTCACGGTGGCAGCTACTATCCGGGACGGCGAACGACGAAGCCCTGCCCGAACCAGGGAGGGAGAGCGAGTCCGGCAGAGACAGAATCAGGACAAAGGTAGTCAAAAGATGAACATTGATTAGCTTAAAGAACATGAGAGCTGGTTAGTTGATCCTTCCTCACCTGTCTGTTTGCCAGTACAGCCAGAAGAGGACTGGCCACCCCTCTGAGCCTGGTTCCTCTCTAGGTTTCTTCCTAGTTTCCTTCCTTCGAGGGAGTTTATCCTGGCCACCTGTGCTTCTGCGTGCTTGTTTTGAGGTTTTTATGCCGGGTGTCTGTAAACGACTTTGTGACAACTGCTCATGGGGGAAAAAGGGGAGCTTTCTAAATACATTGATTGATTGTCCTCCAGGCCTGGGCTCGGAGGAGGGCCCAGGCCGTTGTTCAACATGAGCTGGAGGCAGAGATGATGATGAAAGCGGCTGAAAGAGAAGCACCTCCTCGAGAGATGCGATGATCTACAGCTCAGATGGGGAGGCAAGTTGGCACTTAAATATCTAGCAGTTGTTTCAACTGCTACTCCTGAGCATCCATAGTTCACGGTGTCGTGTTCTGTTTACTTTATCAGAGAATAGAATTTGATGCCCACCCCCCCCACGTGCCCCAGCTGAGGCGACAGTCCCACTTCTTTATCAGAGACATAGATTTGGTGTAGCTAGATGGCGGCAGTACCACTCCTTTATCAGAGAAGATATTTGGTGTTGTCGATAGATGGGGCAAGTCCACGTCCCCCCTTTATCAGAGGAAAGAGATTTGGTGTAGCTAGATTGGGCAGTCCCCTCCTTTATCCCCACGACAGACCATGTGCAGATTTGGTTTGTAGCAGATGGGGAAGTCCCACTCCTTTATCGAGAATAGATGTGATTGTAGATGGGGGCAGTACCACTCTATTTATCAAGACATAGATTGGTGTTTGTAGCTAGATGGGGCAGGTACCACTCCTTTATCAGAGACATATTTGATGTAGCTAGATGGGGCAGTCCCACTCCTTTATCAGAGACAGATTTGATGTAGCTAGATGGGGGCAGTCCCACTCCTTTATCAGAGACAGAGATTTGGTGTAGCTAGATGGGGGCAGTCCCACTCCTTTATCAATGAGACAGAGATTTGGTTGTAGCTCTAGATATGGGGCATGTTTGCCCACTCCTTTATCAGAGACATAGATTTGATGTACTAGATGGGGCATCCCACTCCTTTATCATAGATACAGAGATTGGTGGTGTATCTAGATGGGCAGTCTCACTCCTTTATCAGAGACAGAGATTTGGTGTAGCTAGACGGGACAGTCCCACTCCTTTATCAGAGGACATAGATTTGGTGTAGCTAGATGGGGCAGTCCCACTCCTTTATCAGAGACAGAGATTTGGTGTAGCTAGACGGGACAGTCCCACTCCTTTACAGAGACAGAGATTTGGTGTAGCCTAGACGGGACAGTCCCACTCCTTTATCAGAGACAGAGATTTGGTGTAGCTAGACGGGGCAGTCCCAACTCCTTTATCAGAGACAGAGATTTGGTGGTGTAGCTAGATTGGGCAGTCTCACTCCTTTATCAGACACAGAGATTTGATGTAGCTAGACGGGACAGTCCCACTCCTTTATCAGAGACGAGATTTGGTGTAGCTAGATGGGGCCGTCCCACTCCTTTCGTATTGTTTGTGCTTTTTATTGAACAGATAGGACATTGGCAGTATGGGAAGACAGGAAAGGTAGGAGGTAGAGTCAAAGGGCAGTGGATTGGATTGGAACCCATGCTGACTCTGCCATATATATATGTGCCAGGCTCAGCAGCTCTACTCACAGACCTGGGCCACACAGACCACACTGGGCAGTGTTTTTGTTCTGATATAGTTGGATATGATTTTCCCCCATGTCATGTTGCAGGTGAGTGAATTTGACCAGAAGGTGGAGGCCCAGAAGGCAGCCTTGTCTCTGCAGTACATGGAGGAGATCCAGGCTCTACGGGGGGAGATGTCCAGCAGCCAGAACCGAGCCTGGAGCTTCAGGCCCAGCTAGAGCAGGCGGTGGAGGAAGGGCTGGCCTGGAGCAGAGGCAGGCGGGGGAGGGAAGGGCTGGCCTGGAGCAGAGGCAGGCGGGGGGAGGAAAGGGGCTGGCCTGGAGCAGAGGCAGGCGATGGAGAGGGAAGAGCTGGAGCACCAACAAGAGGAGGAAGTGAGTAGAGGACTGTGTGGCCTCAGTTGGTAAAGCATGGCACTTGCAGGGAATCGTGGGTTCGATTCTATGCTGGGGCCACCCACATACGAAAAATGTATGCACTCAGTGATTGTAATGTTGCTTTGGCATATATTATAATACATTACATTTTGATTTCTATTAGGTGAGCTGCCTGAAGCAGGCGCTCCTAGAGGCCCCCACCCAGGCTGCCGACATGGAGGGCCTGGAGGGCCTACAGGCGAAGGCTGAGCCGGGCCTGGACAAAGAGATGCAGGAGTTAAGGAAACGACATGCTGTGGAACTCTACAAGCTGGGCGAGGAGCACAAAGAGGAGATCCTTTTGACCAAGGACGGAAGAAGAAGAAGAGAGGGGGGAAGCTACAGGAGGAGAGAGCTGAGGTGGAGAGGAGGCTGTCAGAGGAGTGGGAGAGGGGAGAAGGTGTGGAGTTACAGCAGAGACACGGAGGAGGCAGTGAAGGCTAGGATAGAGGAGGTTGAGTGTCAGGTTCCAGGAGGAGAGAGCTGAGGTGGAGGAGAGCTGACGGGGAGATGAGGGGAGTGGAGAGGGAGGAAGGTGGAGTTACAGCAGAGACACGAGGAAGCAGTGAAGGCTAGGATTAGAGGAGGTGAGTGTCAGGTTCCAGGTGGAGAGAGAGGAGCTGGAGATGAGACTCGCGGAGGAGTGGGAGAGGGAGAAGGTGGAGTTACAGCAGAGACACGAGGAGGCAGTGAAGGCTAGGATAGAGGAGGTGAGTGTCAGGTTCCAGGTGGAGCGAGAGGAGCTGGAGATGAGACTCGCGGAGGAGTGGGAGAGGGAGAAGGTTCTGTTGGACGAGCAGACTAAAGCGTCGCTGCAGACTGTGTTAGAGGAGCAGGAGAACAGGGGAGGCCAGCTCACTGAGCAGTGGGGGCTGGAACGAGCTCGGCTCCAGCAGTGTCGTGAGGTGGCTCTCCTCACCAGGTTAGCCGAGGAGCGCCGGAAGCAGCAGGAGGAGACGGAGAGGAGGCTGAGGGAGGACTGGCACAGGGAGAGACTCCAGCTAGAGGAGGACTATGAGGGGATGCTTCAGGAGCGGCTGCAGGAGGAGACGGAGAGGAGGCTGAGGGAGGAATGGCACAGGGAGAGACTCCAGCTAGAGGAGGACTATGAGGGGATGCTTCAGGAGCGGCTGCAGGAGGAGAGGGAGAGGCTGGCGGGGGGAGGGGAGGAAGTGGAGAAGAGGTGGGGAAAGATGATGGAGGAGGAGAAGGAGAGGCTAAAGGAGGTCCACAGACATGCTGTGCAGGAACTGAGTGCCAAACACAGTGAGGAGAGGGAACAGCTCAGCTGTCTACTGGATAAACTGCGGGAGGACATCGCTGAGAAAAGGTAAGACTGTCTAACTGTAATGAAATCAGCTTATAAACTATTTCCTTTTATAAATTGTTTAGGGTTTTTAGTCCCAGCATTGACAATTTGTCCATTAAAACCTGCATTCTTGATAAAAACCATAATCATGTTTACTTTATGTCAGTGTTGTAGTACTCAAGACCCACTATTGAGTGTCTCGGTCTTGTCTCTGTGCCGGATACATTTGTACTCGGCTTGACTTGGTCTCGGACAGTGAGGACTCGTAATTTCTTCCCGAGACCAGCGCAGTAAAAAAGTCATTATCAGCTTCCATTCAGTCAGCTCATAAAACCGCTTCTCCAGGCCAAATAAGACTCTCCTTTATTGAACCATTAATATCTTAACAGCCTTTATATCTATTATAGACATGTTTGATCAGTGGTGAACCTATAGGCCTTCAGTGGTGAACCTATAGGCCTTCAGTGGTGAACCAATAGGCCTTCAGTGGTGAACCTATAGGCCTTCAGTGTGTGAACCTATAGGCCTTCAGTGGTGAACCTATAGGCCTTCAGTGGTGAACCTATAGGCCTTCAGTGGTGAACCTATAGGCCTTCAGTGGTGAACCTATAGGCCTTCAGTGTGTGAACCTATAGGCCTTCAGTGGTGAACCTATAGGCCTTCAGTGTGTGACAGTGGTGAACCTATAGGCCTTCAGTGTGTGACAGTGGTGAACCTATAGGCCTTCAGTGTGTGACAGTGGTGAACCTATAGGCCTTCAGTGTGTGACAGGTTCGTGATTCTGAAAGGACAGCAACCTTTTAATAACAGCGCACTCATGTAGGAGAGTGCACTTTTTTTGCAAAACACCAAAGGACCAGTGGTGGTGTGGAGGGTATACTTAGGTATTTTTCAGTGGGCGTTGCCGTATACTCACGTCTTAATCCCTACTGATGCGTATCAAAGTAGTGTAGTGGAGGGTATACGATTGATCAATGATGTAGTACAATAGAGAAATCATGCGCAAAGTAGCCTACACAATCGCAAAGCACGTGAAATATATTCACATGGGCGCTGCACACATAGCCTAGTTTCAGCGGAAATACCATCTGCAGGCAGCAAGAGTGTGCAGCTCTCAACTGGTTTTGGCATGAAGCAGCTCACAGAAGAATGACATCGGTAGCCGGTAGGGCAGGAAACACATTTCACCTTATGATATCTACCGGTAAATGCTAACTAAGGCAACAATGGGTATGCAAACCAGGTATTGGAAAACGTTTAGTCCCAAAGTTATTGGTTAGTAGGCTATTTGTGATGTGCAATTATCATCATGTGCTCTTTGCATCAGGGGCGTAGACATGGATGGGCCTGGGTGGACAGAGACCCCACCCACTGGGGAGCCGGGCCCTGACAGGCCCACCCACTGGGGAGCCAGGCCCTGACAGGCCCAACCAATGGGGAGCCAGGCCCTGACAGGCCCACCCACTGGGGAGCCAGGCCCTGACAGGCCCACCCACTGGGGAGCCAGGCCCTGACACGCCCACCCACTGGGGAGCCAGGCCCTGACAGGCCCACCCAATCAGATTGTTTTGGTCTTAGATCATAACATTTTTGTATTTTTTCTATGTAAAAACAAAAAGGGTGCCTTTCGTTCGCTGGGCCGTTTGGGAAATTTTAGGCAAAATTAGAGTATACCCACTTCTCCAGGCACCGCTACACCCCTGGATAGGGCCGAAGGAAAGACAGCAGTCACACAGCATGATGTTAAAGGATAAGCAGTCACACAGCATGTGTTTAAAGGATAAGCAGTCACACACAGCATGATGTTAAAGGATAAGCGATCACACAGCCATGATGTTAAAGGATAAGCAGTCACACACAGCATGATGTTAAAGGATAAGCAGTCACACGCATGATGTTAAAGGATAAGCAGTCACACAGCATGATGTTAAAGGATAGCAGTCACACACAGCATTATGTTAAAGGATAAGCAGTCACACACAGCATTATGTTAAGGATAAGCAGTCACACAGTATGATGTTAAAGGATAAGCAGTCACACAGATGATGTTAAAGGATAAGCAGTCACACAGCATTATGTTAAAGGAAAGCCGTCACACAGCATGATGTTAAAGGATAAGCAGTCACACAGCATGATGTTAAAGGATTAAGCAGTCACACAGCATGATGTTAAAGGATAAGCAGTCACACAGCATGATGTTAAAGGATAAGCAGTCAACAGCATGATGTTAAGGATAAGCAGTCACACAGCTGATGTTAAAGGATAAGCAGTCACACAGCATGATGTTAAAAGGGTAAGCAGTCACACAGCATTATGTTAAAGGATAAGCAGTCACCAAAAGCAAAGATGTTAAAGGATAAGCAGTCACACCAGCATTGTGTTAAAGGAAGCAGTCACACAGCATGATGTTAAAGGATAAACAGTCACACAGCATGATGTTAAGGATAGCAGTCACACAGCATGATGTTAAGGATAAGCAGTCACACCACAGCATGATGTTAAAGGATAAGCAGTCCCCCAGCATGATGTTAAAGGATAAACAGTCACACAGCATGATGTTAAGGATAAGCCCGCCACACAGCATGATGTTAAAGGGTAAGCAGCCCCAAGCATGATTTTTAAAGGATAACAGTCACCCACATGATGTTAAAGGAAAAAGCGTCACACGCATGATGTTAAAAGGATAAGCAGTCACACAGCTGATGTTAAAGGATAAGCAGTCACACAGCATGATGTTAAGGATAAGCAGTCACACAGCATGATGTTAAGGATAAGCAGTCACACAGCATGATGTTAAAGGATAAGCAGTCACACAGCATGATGTTTAAAGGATAAGCAGTCACACAGCATGATGTTAATTTAAAGGATAAGCAGTCTATAAACTCAGACAATAAGTCAGTAGGTTTCCAATCATAAGAATACAAAAACACAACCATTAAGCATTTCCCAATCGAAATGTATAACTATTACTTCCCATTGCAAAAACATTTCAAGGTTAGCGCACAAAGTTGACCCTTTGACCTAGTTTAAAGTGGACCCTGGACAGTGTTTTTAACTACTTTGCAGAGATTAAACATCATATCAGTCAAAAATATCAAATTCCCAGATTATGCTACAAAATCAACTTTTATAATAGGTTTTATTTTTGACTCAACGTTCCACGACGTACACTAAGGCATTATTGGCAGAATAGATGGATGCAGTTTAATGCATGATTAATATAATTCACCAGTACATTTCTTGGTAGCACAACAAATATTGCTATCAGGTTGTAAATCACAGCTGACATTATTTGCTGCCTCCATTCGGGATGCACTGTTTCAGTTTCAATGACTCAATATTCTGGACAAAAACGGACGATAACTAAGGCTGGGAATGTCAATACAATCAAACTAGCAAGGGCAACGATCACAAGTCAGTCATAACGTGGCTAATAGGCTAGCGTGTCTATTTATGTAGCAAGCTAAAAACACGGAGCCTAACGTTAGCTAGCTAGCTGCTAGGAGGATGTCATGCCATTTTTTTCCCCTCATATCGATTTTTGGTGGCTATACACAGCTAGAGATGCAGGTGTCATTTGGTTAGCTAGCAAGAACTTGAACGACTTATCAAGCTTGCATATCGATTGCGTTCGCAAATTCACTCTGGCTATCTACTCCGATTTCAGAGCACTCTCGTCTGAGTGTGCCAGAGTGCAGAACAACTGATCTTCTGTTGCTGACGTTGTTTTCCTCTGTTGGTTGTAGGCGTGATGCGGGTCATCTAGCAGAGGAGAACCTTCTACTCAGACAGAAGATATCCACGCTGAAGGAAGAGGACCCGAGAGACACCCAAGAGGAGATGCTGTAAGAAACCTCATGGTCCTGGGAACCATTTTTTTGTGTTTTCCCCTACACTTCCCTGGTGTAGTGGAGATTAAACGCAAGTAAATGCAGTTAACCCACTTTTTTATTTTATTTTATTTTTGCACAACAGTTTACCCACCTTTTGCCAAAAAAATGCATTGAAAGTATAGGGAGCGTTATTTTTTTCAACGCAACTGCCGATCAGAGTTTATCCACCTGATTTTTTTTTTTTTTACCACTACATCACTGCTAGCACTTACACACCTGATTTTAAACTAATTAGCTCATCAAGCCTTTGATTAGTGGAATCAGGTGTGCTAGGGCTAAAACAACAATGATGATCCTTTGGATTAAGAAATACTGAGCCCCCGTGTAGCTCAGTTGGTAGAGCGTGGTGCTTGCAATGACAGGGTTGTGGGTTCGATTCCCACGGGGGGGGCCAGTATGAAAAAAATGTATGCACTCACTTAACTGTAAGTCGCTCTGGATAAGAGTGTCTGCTAAATGACAAAAAATAACAAATAAATAAAAAAATGTATGCTACAGCTATTTTTTTCATTTCATTGGGTCATTGAACTCACACTTTCTCCTCCCCTATCTTAGCTTGAAACTGGAGCATTTCAGGAAGGAGAAGATTTCTGCGCAAAGGAAGGCAGAGAGTTTCAAGAGACGGGTAGGACGAGAGTAAAACGACTAACTTTATTAGCTATGTTAACTTTAACTTGGTTCTAGGGGGCTGACTTGCATTGCACTTAAGAACGTTGATCCTTTGTGCCAACACAGGTAATAAATGGCAACTCTAATAAATCTATATCTGTGTCAAAAAAGGTGCCCTTTTCTCTACATAGTGCACTACTTTTGACCAGGGAATAGGGTGCAGGCCCTGATTTTAAAAAGTAAGGCATTGTATAGTGTTAATAACGGGATATGAGAAGGGAGAGTCGGCGAATGATCGATTCAGACTAGGTGGTAAATTGTATGACAAGCGGCAGTTTATTCAGAGTAAAAATGTCTGGTACAAAACGTGCACGGTTCTCGTTCTTTCAGCTCATAGGGAACTTCCAGAAAAAGCGCCAAAAAACAGTACACACATGTTTTATACTATTTGTAAAGTGGGTTGAGTCTGGCAGATCTGGTCTTCTGGTTGGTCCCTGCTCGGGCGTCGTCCTCTGTGATTGGGTCTAGGAGGTCTACACACTGCAGCTCAGGTCCTTTGTTCCGAATGTTTCAGCAGAGTAAAGATTTGATGTGTGCGTTTTAATTATCTGGTCTTGAGTGTGTCTGTGTGTGTGAGTGCATTTTTGTGCAAGATTGTGGTTGTGGTCAAAACTTGTCTTGGAAAAGGAATTAGTTATAGCAATTTAATAGCAATAAGCTGTTTATAAAAATAGCATTTATTACAAATCCCCCTCTACACGTCTCTTAAGACGTGTCATATACTAAGTAACAAAAAGAAAGGGAAACTTTCTCAGAAAGTTTTGAGTCCCCCTCTTCACGTCTCCCAGACGTGATCCATTATTTATGGTACACGAAGCATAGTTGAATCAGTCTTAAAAGAAAAACAATAATGTAGAAAAGAAAACAACACATGATAACGCATAATGCAATTTGTAAAAATGTTTAACCCATTCCCCCCTCTAGCATACTATTATATGGGCAGTTAATTAAACAAGTTAGTCCCCCTCTAGTGAGTGAACACAACAATCAGAGTTGGTCTTCGAAATTGCTCTAATTGTCGTTTGTTCAGGTTTGGTAATCATGACAGGCCCATCCACCTTTAATTATATAAGGGAGGATAGTCACTATCAAAATCGTCCAGTTCCAAATCATTAGTTCCCAAAAGCGGATACAAGGCAACATCCACAAGAACAAGTATACCCATAGAAGCCATAACTTCACCCAGAATTGTCACAACAATAGTTTTCCATTTACCAAATATGTTATCAAACCAACCGTTTTATGGAGCTATCAATACCAGAGTTCTTAACCAGTTCGTTCGCCAAGCGTGGTGATGGTCACTCAAGCGCTTTTGTCACGGGCCCGTCCGGTGCTATATTGTTGGAGATGAAAATACAGCACATATATCCAAACAGAACACCAAACCCCGTCCTTGCTCAGCCAAAAGCATATCGAAAAACTATTCTATTCTGCCATGCCATTAAAGCTAGTTGCCGCTGTCTGCTCAGCTAATCCCTTTATTGGATCACGAGTGTGGGTTATAAATATTTTGCTGGTTATATTAAATATAATTTATCCAATCGAAGTTTTTATTAATTGTTGACCAACAAAAAATACTTGATTCAAAACTCAACCTGTGGTCTGATTCCTAGCTTTGAATTGTTTCGTAACCTCTCGAGGGTACTCCTATCCCATCACAGGATCCTTTCATCAAAGGATCCCAGGAGGAGGTCCTACTTTCATTTGACAACTCACCAGTCTCTGACACATTTTATTGGTTACATATGTAGTTGAGTTCACAATCAGTTATCACCACACAACCATCAGATGTCAGCACAGGCCTGGTTTGGGTCCTACAATCCTCTGTCTGCAAACAAATAGGAGAGATTAGTCATGTTTTCTTTCAGTTGTGATATTCTCTGTGGTAGGAGCAGAGCTAAGATGCCCTACTCTGTATCCTATCTTACTAGTCCTAGAAAAACGATTAGAATCCCCATGAGACTTCAAACGTTAGGCAACCTAGGTTCGGAATGAGTTTGTTATCGGGGTGGATACTGATAGTTCAAGTTACTACAAGACTCTTTCACCACATCCCAGGTGGTTTGCATGGGGATATAAACCTGTTTTGCGTACTTCAGACATTCAGACCAGTAACCTACACTTCTATGGGTCGCACTGCAATTTCTGGTAATTCCCTACCCTCACAACACTACACCTGTCCCCAAACTGTATATGGAGATTTACATATCCCCCACGCTCTCGATATGGAGCAACTACATAATCCAGGATGTACACGGCGACACACATATAGTGATTGTCCTCCCCCTAAAGTCCTTAATCTTCCCCTTTCCCTACGTCTAGCTGTCTCCTATGGCCTTCATAGACTATGCTCAGGTATCATTTTATCAACTTGTTTTAGGTTAACTACTACTTTTGGCTGATCAGAAGGGTTTGAGTGTGTTAGGAATATGGCCCCCACAATCAGACAGCTACCTACCGTCAGGAGACCTGTGAATCCCCCACCCTTGCCCTGAGAACATGTCAGACGCCAACCCATTACTTTACCTTCTACCAAACTCACACAGGGTATGATCAGACAGGGTAAGGGAATCTTCGTTAAGGAGGCAACCCCCGAACCATAGTGGATGATCGGATCTTTCTCCTAACTCTGTGTTTGTTCATCAGGTGTAACTGGGTTTACCTTTTTACAGTGTGTGACATGCACCCAGATTGATCTAATAGGACTTGATAGGCCCTTCCCACAGGCCTGCTTCCAGTTTTTCTTCTTTTAGGGACTGGATCCACACCCAGTCTCCTGGTGTGATAGAGTGGGTCACCTTCTCCTTTAGTTCACCTGTGGGGCACAAAACCTCTGACATACAGGTGTGGTTAATAAACTATCTTCACACATAGATGTTGAGCTCTCAATTTCTATTGTTGTTTTTTTTATTTTTACTTAATCCTATCATTATTATTTAATCCTATCAATATTATTTAATCCTATCATTCCCCCCTTTTTGACACATGATTTGCCCATGTGTCAATATTACCACCTTTCTAAACCATTTCTTATGTAATTTATCATCCTATTGCCATGCCTTTCATTTTTTAGATTATCTTTTGCTCCTTTATTGCTCCTCCCACTTCCTTTGTCTTTTATGGAAGCTAAATTCAACTTTCATCCAGTTCAGAATCAATTAGTAATCCAATCAATCAATCTCTTATCTTATAAAAACACTTATGTTTAGTTCAAACTCTGTTCTACCCAGGCTCTCCCGGGCTTGACCTGAAGACTAATTGTTGGACATGACAAGTCTATTTCTTAAGTCACCTAAGTCTTCTGTCTAGCAACAAAGAATAAAAATCTCTATGTTCATGATTAACCCCAGTTATATCTAATAGCCCACCAGAAAACCTAATCATCTTTAAATCACTACCAATGTCATATCCCTCGTTACTCTCTTACCATTTGGATAACATCCCTGATGTTATGTATGCCCTCCTTAGAGTTCCAAATTACTTTACATGGGCTACCATTGCCTTCCCATAGATAAGATCACTTAATTACCCGTATGCAGTACATAATGGAGTACGCAAACTTTACAGCACTTTATCATTACCAATAAGCTCATCATTTGTTTTTTGTTTTAAACGGTTTGGCGCTCCAAATATAGCAGTTTTTATGGATGAGTTTAACATTCTCCCCTCCTGTGTTATAGTGTGACCTAGGTAATGACCTCGATTTACCAAAGTTTTTAAGTTTCTTTCTGCTCACTTTGTGTCCCTTTTCTTCCAGAAGGTTAACAATTGAATTGTATCATCCCTCTTACACAATCCCTCCTGAGTGGGATTAGCCAATAGAATATAATCTACATAATAACTAACATTTGTTTCCTTCCCTAGGTTCAAACTTTCCCAAATGATTAGTTATAGCCTGGGCAAAGATTTGTAAGGACTTTCGAGTAGCCTTGAGGCATCCTAGCCTAAGTCCATTTCCTTCCCTGAAAAGTAAAGCCAAACCACCCCTAACTATCCGGATGAACTTGGATGCTAAAGACAGCTTTAGCTAAATCTATCACTGTAAAATAGGAGTTCTCTGGTTTCAATTGGTTCATCAATGTATGTGGATTTTATACACCATGGAACTCTGGAATGATATTTATATTAAACTAACTGTAAGTCCATGACCATCCTCCAGTCGGCGCTAGGTGCCCTCCTTTCTAACAGGAAATATTGGAGAGTTTCATTGTACCACATCTCCAGGAATTATCACCTCTCCCTTAAGTAAATTCTCAAATGTAGGTGTTATCCCTTTTATTGCTTCTGGTTTCATAGTATCATTTTTGGTATGGGTCTATTATTGAATCGAGGAATCACTTGTACTGGAGCTACCCCCTTTAGTAGTCCTACATCTGTTGTCCTTGTGACCATAATTTGAACAGAATTGCTGCTAACTCACCCTCCTGTTCCTGAGTTAAGAAAATCTCTTCCTGTCATCCGTTTAAAAACTTATCTCCAGATGGACACTGGGCTGGGTTTTTGCTCTCCCATTTAACTTTATTCTATATCTCCCAGTGGGAGTGGCCATAACTGATCCCCATTTGGTATATTCTGCCAGTCAGTAATGTTCTTCCCTTGTTTTATATATTTACCTAGTGATAACATTCCTCTGAATGTTCTTTCACTAGGACAAACATGGGGGCTCCACCTTTCTCTGTACAGCCTCTGGCTCTGTGAACCCATTTTAACCCATTTGAAAAAACAACAATCACAAATAAGCCAGGCCTCACTCAATTTGATAGCTCACTTTTATGACCTAAATTCTGCCTAACTGAGATAAGCTAAATCTCTTTCTCCTAGTTATATTCTAAAGATGGTAGTCCACACAAAACATGATAGATATTCCCAGTCTTAACCCATCAATAATTGTTTGTATCATTCTAATTCCTCCTAACTAATCCATAAACCACTCAAAATTCCTCGAGTATACTATGATTATTTAATTGATTACCCTAACTCTGCTACATGTGATCTCATCTCAAATTATCCATTTATCAATTATTTATTCAACTCCCTAGGAAACCTGTCTTCCCTTCCATTGTTCCTTTCCCTCCTGTATATGTCATATTTTGAGTTTTTAGCCAATACAATCACAGTTACATCAAATGTTCCCTCATTTAATGGTATTTTCTTCCTAATATAACTTCCCTGAATGAGATTAAATCCACCTGGTCTTCCTCTACTATCCTTATATCATTACTGGATCAATGATAATAACCGTAACAACTATCAACAACAATTGTAATAACTAATTCACATTAAATTGTGTATTTTTTTCTGATTATGCTACAATTGTAGCCTATTTATCACCCCAGTCCAAAATATAAGTTTATGTAACAACCCCTAACCCCTACAGGGTTGCGCCATTCCCCCCCACAAAAGCCATGCATATTTTTCCTCCAAAAAAAATTATCGTTTTTAAAATGGTCCCTCTATCTTTTTTTCCCGCTAACCCCCTTTCAGTTTTCTATTCAAAGATTTAACTGTTTTCTCTGATTTGCCCCCAATTAAAAAACAAAAAAGGGGTAGTTTGGTCGCAAACCTTAATGACATTTATCATCTAACTATACGTCTCTCACCCCCTTGTCCTTCGGGGAGACGCATGGGAACCTTAACATATTTTTATAACTTTTCTAGAATACTTTTATTAAATATTATTCAAACCCTTTAATATAATCTAGGTATATAGCCCACTTGAAAAACTTTTTTTACTGTCCCCACCTGTTTCAACCGGGGCAAAAGCCAGTCACTTCGCAATATCTGCGATGCTCTCAAAAGTACACTTCCAGTTCATGGAAAAGGGGTCCCAAAATGAAAATCGCAGTAGCTTTCACCTCAGCAAAAACTATCTCTCTCTCACTGCTTATTTCCCCTTTACACAACCTTATGTATCTGTTTTAAGCATGGATTCGAGTTTATCTGCGTCCAGACGTCCCTCAAAACCATACCTCTCCCTCCACCTGGTTATATAATGGAGATTTCTTCTATCCCTGGATTCATTTTAATTACATCAAGCATTTCTCGTCCCCAGTAAATTCTGGGACCTATTGTGAGGATTTCCCCCCCCCCTGGGTTGGTACTGTTAAAAATCCCTTAGCCACCTCTTCTATATTACAAGTCAATTTAACAAGAAATTCAAAATAGCTTCACACAACAACACCTCATAAGGAGTGCCCAGCAGGAGTCCAATTCCTATCAGAAACATACATACAAACATTCAGACACTCCCAATCTCTCCAGGGGGAAAAAGTTATCCTTCTCCTGAGTGAGATTGTTGTTCCCATAAGGGTTTCTTCTCATTTTGTTGTCAGGATTGGTTCTCGCTGCTCAAATCAGCTCTTACTTCAGACAATGGTCTGGAAGGAGTGGGGGCTGGTGTGCAGTGTGTTAGATGGTGCCAGGGTGCTCCTGATTTACCTCTGACCTGGACTGAGTGTGAAGTAACCTCCTTCACTTCGTACGGTCCAGTCCACCTGGGTTCCAGCCACTTTCTTTTGTGGACTTTCACCCTCACCCAGTCTCCCATTTTTACCTTCAGTGGTGGCGTGTTACCCGTCAGCTCCCCCTCTTGGGCCTTCTACACCTGAGAAGAGAGTGCTGCAGAAAATTCCGTCAATTTCATCACATAATCAGTCATTTCTATCTGTGGTACATCAAGGGCGGGCATATGACCTCCCTCCCTTGGTGGAACCTTGCATTTTCTCTCCCTTACCATTATCTCATGAGGAGAGAGATGGGTCCCTGCCCCTGGTGATGCTCTCATAGCCAGCAAAACCAGTGGCAGGCTTCAACCCATGTCAATTTTGTCCCTGCACAAACCTTATTCAGTTTCATAAGTCTCACTCATTTACCACTGTTCACTTTATCTACATCCTTCACCGAACGAAATATTCGAGCTTTTGGATGAGGCTTATACCACTTTAAGACTATCGGAATCCTATTTTTATTTTATTCTTATTTTTTTTACTAGCAATGTTCATCATTTAAACAATATCCAGTAAAACAATTGACATTTACACATCCGACCCTATTGGTACATGGAGCGTTTGTCATTAAGTAATACACATTAATCAGTTGACATTTACACACTCCGACCCTATTGGTACATGGAGCGTTTGTCATTAAGTAATACACATTAATCAGTTGACATTTACACATCCGACCCCTATTGGTACATTGGAGCCGTTTGTCATTAAGTAATACACATTATCGTTGACATTTACACCATCCGACCCTATTGGTACATGGAGCGTTTGTCATTAAGTAATACACATTTTCTATCTCTCCTAACCACACAGTTCCCCCCCGGTTGACTCTCTTGGTCCGTCTCTGTGAACCAACTCTCCCAGACGGTTAATACATTTTATCACAAAGTCCCTCCCGGTCTAACTCTCTTGGTCCGTCTCTGTGAACCAACTCTCTTAGCCGACTCTCGACTTATTAATTATTCCAGACATGTTTACTACACTGCTTTTCAGTTTGTCCATCTATGCATAAATTGTATCAAGAATTCATACTCACAACTCGGTAATACTGATCAAACTTTGGATAGGGGGGGGGGGGTGGGGGGGGGACTATTCGACAATATGCAAAGTTTGATTTAACAGTTTTGCTTACCTTTTTTTTTTTTTTATAGTCGACTTTAGGAATCAGTTTCCCGAGCTGAGTTGAATTGTTGTCCTCCCTCCGAATAATTACACCAGTCTTTCCGTTGAATCGTCCTTTTACCAAACTCGCCCCCTCACATCCACATTAACCACTCTGGACCGTGTATCTAGACAACCATCGACTGCTACCAAGTTTCTGTTAATAACGGGATATGAGAAGGGAGAGTCGGCGAATGATCGATCAGACTAGGTGGTAAATTGTATGACAAGCGGCAGTTTATTCAGAGTAAAAATGTCTGGTACAAAACGTGCACGGTCTCGTTCTTTTCAGCTCATAGGAACTTCCAGAAAAAGCGCCAAAAAACAGTACACACATGTTTTATACTATTTGTAAAGTGGGGTTGAGTTCTGGCAGATCTGGTCTTCTGGTTGGTCCCTGCTCGGGGCGTCGTCCTCTGTGATTGGGTCTAGGAGGTTCTACACACTGCAGCTCAGGTCCTTTGTTCCGAATGTTTCAGCAGAGTAAAGATTTGATGTGTGCGTTTAATTATCTTGTCTTGAGTGTGTCTGTGTGTGTGAGTGCATTTGTGGCAAGATTGTGTGTGTGGTCCAAAACTTGTCTTGGAAAAAGGAATTAGTTATAGCAATTTAATAGCAATAAGCTGTTTATAAAAATAGCATTTATTACAATAGGGAGTAGGGTAAAAAGTAGTGCAACTTATATAGGGAATGGGGTTTGCAGGTCCTGGTCAAAAGTCGTGCACTATATAGGGTGCCATTTTTGGACGACCCCTAAATCTGCATCCCCCCCCCCCCCCCCCCCCCCCCCGTAGATCTCGGCGCTTCGTCCTTCCGCAGCCAGCAGCTGGAGGATGAGAAACGGGCTGCTGTCGGAGAAGAACGCCCAGAATGCAGCAGGAGTGGAGGGGTTGAGCCAGCAGCCGGGGGAACTACTCAGACAGAGTGAGAGACAGGAGGCTGTCCGAGACCAGCAACGCACTGTACCGGAGGATGACAGGACCAAGGTAAATGATGACATTAGTTGTTTTTTTAAAGGGGATTGTTCAGGATTTTGGCAGTGAAGCCCTTTTTATCTACTTCCCTAGAGTCAGATGAACTCGTGGCAAACCCAGTGCCAGGATAAAGTGACTGAGGGGGCACAATTTTGGGGGGTCCTTGCATTGGAGTTATATAGAATTCTGCTTATATCACGCTGTACCACAATAAACAATAAAGTTCAAATGCCGAGACTCCGAAAACCATTGATTGAGTGCTTTTGAAGTGACGGGTAGGTGTGAAATCTGTATCCTATCTCTGCTGCGCTGTATCCACACAAAACAAGGCCGTTATGGTAATGAATATAGGCTGCAAGATAGGGTGTTTCACCCCATTACAAACATCCTTGTGTGAATGCGGCCGTCAGCATAATGCTTGTTCGAGCTAAATAGGCTATGGCTAATAACACTAATTGCTTTTTACAGCAAGCTAAGAAGCTAACTAAACTCTGTAGTGGTGGGGTGTGAAGCATCTTCAACGGTAAATCAAATATTACAGGCGGAGGCGGTCCCGTTATTCACAGCCTACCACAGATGACAATCGTTTTTTTTCCTGATTTTTATGGGAAAACCCGAAGGAGTTGTACCGAACCGCCCCATTGGCTTTCCACGGCCCCCTACATGTCCATGGGTGATGACACGGCGCAAGCAGAGATACAGATTGTGCACCAACCTGTCACTCAATCGTTTTTTTTTTTCTTTCAATTTTTCTATTGGACATATAAATTAAAACTAAGGGTGGTGCAAGTTTCAACTGAAGGGGGGCTAACATCGTTGAGCCGGTCCTGTTATGTCTCTGAGTCCAGTATGAAGGAAGATAGAAATAGTTTAACAAACCAACGCTAATCTAGCGTAAAACATTGTATCCACGAGTCCATCTCACTCTGGGTTAAGTAGATAAAAGGGCTTCATTTCCAAATCCCGAACTGTCCCTTTCAGGATTTGATTGTAGTCATACCTGTTTTTTTCAATTCGTCTTTGCTCGATTCCTCCTCGTTGGGGTCCCAATGACTTGTTCTCCTGTGTGTCAGATGGCAGTGTGTGTCTCGCCCTGGAGGCGGAGCTGACCAAAGCTGTGGAGGGGACTGTACTACTAGAGGAGGACAAGGCCCAGCTGGTGCTACAACTCACGCCCCAAGACAAGTTACACACGATAACTTATGTAAAAGGCCAAATATTATAACTCCATTTTCTTTGATTAAACTTTATTAAGGTTGTGTTAGTATTTGCACGAGAGACTGCAAGACCCCCCTAGAGGTCTAATGTATTATATGTCCGAGTACAAGGGGA